CTGTGGAGACAACTCAGATGAGCAGAACTGTGGTAAGTAACCATGTATGTGATCTTATTAGGTATTTGTTTCGGATAAATGTAAACATACATAATATAAGTTGAACTGTCAGAACAACAAAACCTAACACGCCTTTGAATTATTGATGTGTAGTAAGATGCATCATATTGTATTAAGTGTGCAAAGTGTTATCCTTGACCTGGTTAAATACTTTCTGATAATACAATAGGACAAACACGATGTGATATTAACGAATTTACTTGTGATAATGGAGATTGTATTCCTGATGGGTATAAGTGTAATGGTGCCAACGACTGTATTGACAACTCGGACGAGGCAAATTGTGGTATGTGTGTATTTTGAAAGAATTATTTTTAATTCAAAGCACCATTATTTCGATCTATACTTAATACATTACACTGTAAGACAGCACAGTTGTCGCATTGTTTGTTTAATGTTTGGTTGATTTTACGTATGTGTTCGTTTTGTATCTTTGTTCATAGTGAATATTTATATAATTTATTCGAACGTGTTCCTTGCATCTGTGTATGAACTGATATATGTAATAATTAAATAATAATACATTGTGAGTCACCTATGAGAATATTGAAGTTATGTTGTGTGTCTAATCACGCAATAAAAAAAGGGTGCAATTGCTTATTGGCGGATTTATATTTTGGAACCTCTTGACAACACACTTGTTTGATTCTACAACTTGAATAGGATGTGGCTTTGACGATCTCATTTGTAATATAATGGAGATTGTATACCTTCAAGTTAGAAGGTTGGTACCAACCGATAATGATACATAAAACAATAAATATAATTAATATTACTCATTTCAGCGTGTGGTGCTGATCAATTTACTTGTGACAATGAAGAATGCATACCACAAAATTGGCAGTGTGATGATTGGGATGACTGTGGTGACAACAGCGATGAAGATGGATGTGGTAATTAATGTACAGTTAGGAAAATTTTGCTTAGGATATGCATGCATTGTATATTTTGTAATTGTAATTTCTTATTCCGCTAATATGTACAAAATTGTAAATTAATGTTTACACATGTAATGTTGTATTGATTATGAAGGCTGCATCGGACATATCATATGGTAATCTAAATAACAAGCATTTGCTGTACATATCTAGGTTAATAGCCATTTCTGTTTTTCAGTATGTGACGTAGATGAATTTACCTGTGATAATGGATATTGTAAACCTTCAAGTTGGATATGTGATGGTTATGACGATTGTGGAGACAACTCAGATGAGCAGAACTGTGGTAAGTAACCATGGTATTACGGAAAAATAGTTGTACTCATTTCGCTATATTTGGCAATTCCTACGGACAAATGTAAATATACATAATAAAAGTTGAACTTGCAGAACAACCACCAAGTTGGCACGCCTTTGAATTATTGGTGTGTTGTAAGATGCCCCATATTGTATTAAGTGTGCAAAATGTTATTCTTGACTTGTTAAATACTTTCTGATAATACAACAGGACAAACAGGATGTGATATTAACGAATTTACTTGTGATAATGGAGATTGTATTCCTGATGGGTATAAGTGTAATGGTGCCAACGACTGTATTGACAACTCGGACGAGGCAAACTGTGGTATGTGTGTATTTTAACAGAATTATTTTAAATTCAAGTACCATTATTTCGATCTAAACTTAACACATTACACTGTCAGACAGCATAGTTGTCGCTTTGTTTGTTTAATGTTTGGTTGATTCTACGTATGTGCTCGTTGTGCTCATAGTAAATATATTTATAATTTATTCGAACATGTTCTTGCATCTGTGTATGAACTGGTATATGTACGAATCCCACATAACAGGCATCTGTACATTGTCAGTCACCCATGATTATATTTAAGTTATGTTGTGTGTCTGATCACGTGATAACCAAAAACCACACAAAAGGATGCAATTGAGTATTGGCGAATTTATATTTTGGAACCTCTTGACAATATTCTTGTTTAATTGTATAACTTTAGCAGGGTGTGATGTTGACGAATTCACTTGTGATAATGGAAATTGTAAACCTTCCAACTGGATATGTGATGGTGATAACGATTGTGGGGACAACTCAGATGAGCAGAACTGTGGTAAGTAATCGTGAGTGTAACTTGGATAATAATAAATTTTGACCTGACTAAACAACCAAACCTGACATGGTTAAAGCGCG